CCACTCATCAGGGTCAGATAAACCTACTGAATTTATTAACAGATATATTATTATTTATATATACTACATAAAAACACTTTCACATTTCAATGTTCTATACTAAAAATGGTTCTAACATGACAACATTTAACATTAAATTACTCAAGTTTTATAATTTTAAATATTTTATATCTAAAAACATCTAAAAATTGAATGATTTAAATGTCCCATTGTAACACATTATAACCTTTTTTAATATCAAATAACTTTGAAATGTTTAGCATGAATTATTAGCATTTTTTTATGTAGCATATATAAATATGTGTTAATAAATTCAATAGATTTATCTGACACTGATGAGTTACATATTGATTACCTACAAATCCTTTTTCATATCTTATGAGAACAGCGTGCTAATCAATGCAGTGGGTTTTTTTTACCCTTGAATATTCTTTTCTCTCTCTCTGTTCTGCCACAATTTACAGAAAACTTGTTAAGTAGGTTATTCACTATTTCTCCCTGTTTTTCTTGTCTTCCATATGTCTAGTGGGTGTTTGATTCTCCAGGACCAATTTCCCTGGTTAATCAGTATTTCCAACTGCTGCTGCTACCTTCCATAAAAAGATAAAAAAGAACCACTTATATAAATATTCTGAGAATTGAATATATTAAAAAGATTTAAAATAAATCAATTAGATCAACCATATTATTTTTGGTTGTTATTCCAATATTGATTACCTACAAATCTTTTTTCATATTTTGTGAGAACAGCTTGCTGATCAATGCATCGGTTTTTCTTACTCTTTAGTATTTCTTTTTATCTCTATTTCTTGCTATATCCCACTTTTTCTCTTGACTTCTATATGTCCTGTGAGTGTTAGAATCTTCAGGCCCTCTTTCCTTGGTTACTCACTGTTTCTCTCTGCTTCTCTTGCCTTCAATATGTTCTGTGAGTAATAGTTCTTCTAGACTTCTTTCCTCATTGTATATCTTAGAAATTTCAGTTATCTCTTTCTGATTGTAAGCATTAATTTTCTTGTAAATTTGATTTTCCTTAAAACTTCTTCATTTCTCACATGCTGTGCCACGGTATTCCCAGCATTTGTTGATAGAATGCTCCTTGAAATAAAATATATGAAATAGGTATCAAATATTTTACAAGCACATAAATGTAATGACTGCTGATAAGGAAATGAAAAGAACATACTGCTTGCTTTCAAAATCAGTTTACAAAATTTTAATCATTTCACTCCAACAAGGCAATAAAGCCACTAAAACACAAGCGATTACTGTGTGTGAAAGAATATGAGAAAAAGAAAAACCTTATTAAGGATGATTCATTTTCTATGACTTATCAACCCATTACAGGTTATTTAAAGCCAGAAAATGGTTTTAGATTGTTAGAATTTTTTTGAGATAATGTTTTAGTGATACAAGTCTTACTAATTAACTGTGGGAGAAGAGGTGAATTCATACCTTTACAATTGTTTGTTAACTTAAAATATAAGTGCAAGTGAATATAACAAACCCAATGGGAATTAGAACTTGGCTCTCTGATTAACAATTCTGAGCCAGTATCATCTACACCACCCGCACATCCAAACTTATAACACTTGTATTCCTAAGTGGTCACTCATCTAGCTATTGAACTGGCTTGATATTGCTTAAGTTCAGTGATCATATGGGAACCTGTGTTTCAAAATGATGTAACCATAAGCTATATCATATATTATTAAGGAGAAAGAACAATAAAACAACAGGAATAAGAAGATGTAAGGTAACAATTGACAATGTATTTAAATTTTTGAAGATCAATATTGACTGAAAGGCAAGAAGTAGCATGAGAATTCCACAAGTGAGAAGTGCAAGAGAAGAAACTGTTAGCATAGAACTTACAATTACATCTAGCCATTTCAACAACAAAATGATGAGACCTAGCTGTCAATTTAGTACTGCACTTAAATTTGTAAAGTTGAGGTATCAGAACAATTACCATGAAAATATTTATAGAAAAAATACAGGGAAGCTACATTAAGGCAGTATGAAGGTAACTGAAGCTGAGATGCCAGGTCAGAACCGATAACATTGCAGATTCTTCTTTGTATTTTATCAAGAATCTCTAAATCAGAAGTACCAGACTAGATGTGACAGCATATAATTTTTTTATTATTTTAAATAGGTTGCTATATTTCAAAGAGAAATAATTGTCATACTGAATAGCATTTAGAATTTAGTAAAAGCGGAAATAGTATGTAACTGTAAAAGTTATAGGATGTAAACTTTTATTTAAAATTTAGTTTATATGTGGTATGCATGAATGTAAAAATCAGTCAAAAATGACACCAATTTAAAATAAAAAAAAAACAATTTAAACATATACTAACTTTATTAAAAAGATGACAAATATTTTAAAGAATAATAACCTATGTAAATTATCCTAGAAATTATAGAATTTAATGGCTTTTGCATTTAAAGATAGATTTGCATTTTAATAATTCATTTTGAGCTCCAACTTTTGAAGGAAATTTTATATATTAACTAGCTGAGGTACCCAGCATTGCCCAGGTGTACATGGCTGCAATTTTATAACCGCACCTCACTGTATACTCTTCACAAGTGTTTGATTGTTCTTAATAAGGGAATTCCATCAATAAAACCTTCTTGTGTGGTTGTTTCTTTGGGTTAAATTGTTTCAATGTTTTAGATATTCAGTAAATTTCCTGTCTGTAATAACTTTGAAATAGTATGTCATCGTTCAAAAATTTAATAAGCAAACAAAAACAGGGATGAAGTGTCAGAGCTTGATTCAATTGCAAGTGCAAATGCATGAACAACCCCTCCTTCTTTGAACATTTACTGTAAAGCTGGGGTTAATAAGAGATTCTTCAGGAATTTTTCCCTTTTAATGCTTCAATAATCCTTCTCAAATAACCTTTGCATCAAAGGTTGTTCAAATGCCAGTTTAGGATGGAATTATATGAAGGAACTATTAGCTAAATGGCAAAAGCCAATTTTGAACCTAGTTTGTTACAGATTTTTTGGAAACTTTGGATGAAATAATCTAAAGCCGAAAACAGTCACACAAGACAATTTGTGTGTCATATGTAATGTACATGATGGCAAATTTGTGAAAGCATTGGATGAAAAAAAATGAGGCAGTTATTCAAGTTTTTATTTTTAAAATGGGCTTTTTTTTGCAGTTTTTGTGTTATACACAGGCAAAGCGAAATGAGCTATGGACTAAAACCATCACTATCTTATTCATTACATGATGGCAATTTTTGATTTCTGTGGATTGTTTGAAGAAAATCAGAAAAAAAAACCGGTGAGGTAGATTATTCAAGTTTTATTTTTTTTAAGTTAATATTTAAGAAAAAATATTTGTCTCAATTTTTTCAGTTTTTAAAACTTTCAATTTTTTTTGTGAAGCCACAGGAAAACTATTTAAAAACTCTGCATAAACCTCATAAAATGAGGAACAGGTGTTTTTGAATTCATGTAAGTGCAAACGAACATCAGCTCATCCCTAGCAAAAAGTCATTTTGTTCATATGCAACTTTGTCTTGGTTTTCAGAAGACAGTGATTTCTCGCTAAAAAAGTTGTACCCCCCCAAGGACGCCGATTCAGTTTTATTGATTTCTTTTTTGTTGTCACCAAACCTGGGGAACTTTCTTTCTCTCTCTCTAGTTCTCAACCGTCAAGTGATTGAAAACAACAAGTTGGTCTTGACCTACAACAAGTTGGTAAATTTGCAACATGTGATCACAATTTCATCAAAACCAAGGTCAAGAAATGTAGATATGCATAAATAGACCACACACATCCAGCTCATAGACATCTTCTGCTTTTCCTTTTAGAACAAAAAAAACTCTAGATCATACATATCCTATTCTGTTTTATATTGTTAACATTTAAGAAAAAAATATTTGTCTCAATTTTTCTCTAAATTTGTTAAAACTTTCAATAATTTTTTTCTGTGTGTGTATGCCTATCATATTCATTCAGCTGTCTAAAATAAAAAGAAGCAATAAGAGGGTATGAAAATAATAACAAAATGAATTAAACATTTGTTTTTCTCTAATTAATCATGTCTGTTCACATATTTAAAAAATATCTTCTAGCATATTTCCATCTACAATTTTTCATCCCTTCAACTCTTTGTTATCTCCTCCTCCTTCTATCCTTGAACCAGCAGAGCCCGAACAGGTCATTTATAAAATTTTGACCTTGACCTCTCATTCATGCTCCTTACACACTTTTAGTTAACAATAAGATAAATGAAAAAAAAAATCAAATCAAATGGAGGGACTAGCAAATGTCCCTTTTAGTTAGGGTTTCATATTTTCAAACCTAGTTTTCAATAATATTCTTAAAACTACTAGGATCATTTTTAGATATTAGTTCTCTTTAGCTAACCTCTACTAGTTTAGGTATTTTATTATAGAGACTTTTTATTTTTCGCTTTTTAAAAATCCAAAATTTAATAAAACTCTTGCTGGTCTTCCTTGTCAGAAGACAGTGATTTCTCGCTAGAAAAGGTTATTTTTTTTTAATTAAATAACCTCAGTAAATAAAATAGAAATAAAGGCGTGAAATATTTTCTGGTGGTGAAAACATTGAAGAATATGAAGATATTTTTCAGTAAAAAATTATGCAATATCAAATGTGAACATACATCGACCCCTTCGATAAACTCAGTATTTGCCTTCATTGGCGATAAATGTGAACAGCCAAGACAATGACGGACAAAGGCAAAGATCAAACAAAGGCTGTCGTTTTTATTCAGTTGTGGTCGAAAACTGGTTAATCGACGAACATTTTTTTGTAGTCTGCCAACTTGGTCGATTTAGGTTTGGGAAACTTTGGTTCGGTAGAATTCTGGTCTCTCTCGTTCTCAACACGTCAAGTTGGCATCCCCGGTAATTTTAGACAAACAAATGCAAGTTGGCAACAGACTAGAACTGCAGCCGCGGGAACAAGTTGGGCGAAGACCCCTAAACAGGGCCAAGGCAGACCAGTGATGCTTCAACAACCAACAATGATCATCCTGGCATCAGACCAGTCAACAACCCACCGGATCAACCGCGGAAACAGGGATCATCCTGGCAACAACCCACATCAGGGCGGATCGACCGTGGAACCCCTCGACAACAACGATGATCCTAGCAACTACCAAGGCCAACCCGTAGATAATAAATTCGACCATCAATGCCTGCAGCATCCAGCTCACTCCTGCAGTTTCCAGCTCACTCCTGCAGCTCCCAGCACCTCCACCGTTTCCGACCATCTTCATTTCCTTTTAGAACAAAAAAACTCTATATATCATACATATCCTCGTTCTGTTGTCTATATTGTCTCACCGTCAGATTTAACAACCTTCAAAAATGTTAGCGGGCCTCTTCTGACCTCGTTCACCCCTTTCTGTGATACGGGGCCGCATGGACCGCCCGCTACAGCTGTATGTAGAAAAAAATGATTGTACAAAGTAACAAAAGGCAATATTGCCTAAAAAAAAAACACGCAGTGTAAGATACTGTTTTTTGTCCGTATCATATTCATTCATTACATCTTTTTTTTTTAGTCTCCGGGAGGATACGAACGACGTCGTCAAAGTAGAAGAAAAAACTTGCTTAAATTTTCTTTTAGTTCAAAGAAGAGATATTTTTTTGTATGAAAATAATTTTAAAAAATGAATTAAACATTTGTGCTATTTTCTCTAATTAATCAATGGCAATACGCTGAGTTTTTTTAAAACTTTCATTGCAATTTAATTTCAAATAAATATCTGTGTGTCGTTGATAGTGTATAATTCGCCAATGCAGCCTTCGCCTCCAATGCGTGCAGAACAATTTCCATCTAAGCAATATTTTTTCATCCCTTCAATACATTGTCTATCTCTTTTAGTGATAATTATGCCGTCTCGTCGGTGCGGTGCCGAAAAGTATTAACCTCGATTTAGCTCTGTTGACCGAGGTTCGTCGATATAGAAACCGGTTCGTTAACCGAACGCCCGTTTTCGTATAGGTTTGTTGTGACTGCTTTTTCTGGTGGTATCATCATGAGTGGTAATAAAAAATCATGGATATGAGGAAATTTTGTCTTTTTCCGGTAGTCATGCATATCCGTTATAAAATTTTGGTACCGGACAATAAAGATATAATTTGTCGCGGATGGGGTGTGCGGGAATTGGGTTCTGATGTGGTGCTGAGTCTGATGGTCATATGAAGCCGTTTAAAGTTTAAATATACAAGCTTAACAAGGAGCCTTGACGTGTGAATTTTTTTTTGGAGAAAAATCGGAAGAGTCTTTCATTTGGACATTTTAGATGTAAAATAAGATAAATGAAAAAAAAATCAAATCAAATGAACTTTGGTAACCATGGCGACTGTAGTGTAAACAATATGTCTACCGGAGAGGACAGTAAAGATGCAGGTAAAAATACTTTTAGGTTTCACACCATTTTCTGTTGGAAACACTTATTTTCAATTATGTATACCGATTCTTAAAAACTTGAATAAACCTAGGATATATGTGTGTGTGTGTGTATGTATATATATACAAAAATTAGATTATAAATTAAGACTAGAATAGAGTCTACTAGAGAGTTTAATATTTTTTTTTACTGGTTAATTTTCATTTCTTATTGTAGAGACTGGAAGTGGTGATTATTGGTTTCGTTTAACTTTTTAAAAAATCCTTTTTTGACCTGAAATCGGTTAATAAAACTAAAGATGAAGGAAAATAAAATTGTCATTAAAAATATTTGGTCAATGAATTACCAACCAAATAGATAGTTTTTTCGTTCGCGAATCTGGCTCGCTGTGAAGTAAAGTAAAAAATTCCACCTGCAAGAACAACAAAAATATATCGACATCATCGCTTAGCTGTCTCACGTCGAAAGTCACCACTTGTTGCGGGGCCGAGTAGGATGTCGCCCGCAAGGTTTTAGTAATATTTTATTTACTGAAAAGGTTATTTTTTTTTTAATTAAATAACCTCAGTAAATAAAATAGTAAATAAAAGTTTGGTGAAATATTTTCTGGTGGTGAAACATTGAAGAATATGAAGATATTTTTTCAGTAAAAAATTATGCAATATCAAATGTGAACATAGAGAAAATTCGACCCCCAAAAAACAATTCGATAAAACTCAGTATTTGAGAATTGGTGTTCGCATAAATAATAATAAAACTAAAACACGTTACGGTTATTTTCTTTCAGATTCGATAGAAAAAAAATCTAAACTTGATATTTATTTTATTTGCAAAAAAACTTACTAGAGGAGTAATTTTTTCTATGTTGCAATTTTAGAGAAATTTTGCGTAGTACCAACGATTGCTGTTCGTCACAAGAGTTTTAAAGACATGTTTGAAAATTTAAAAAAAACACGTTAAGATTAATTCGATAGAAAAAAATCAATTTTTTATTTTAAAAAAAATTACTTGTAATAGTGAACCTTTTTAAAAAGGTAAATTTGCTTTTAACACCCACGCTAAGTATCTCTTAAAATTTTTCCAAATCGTCATAATTCCGTAAAAATATGCATGTTGAACTAGAATTAACAATTAAATTATGAAGAAACCTACCGTTTTGTAATTATCAACAAGAAATAATCGGACTTCTTGTTGGTCTATGGTCCCCTATTACTGCCATAATGTTCAGTAATACAGTGCAGGATACATCCGGTGGCGAAAGCACAAATTTTGGCCAATTTACTTCTTTTACAGACTTTCGGTGCAAAAATCACTACGCACTATCGTAAAGCAATTTTTTTTTTTTTAAAATAACTTTAGTTTTATTTATAGCAGAAAACTTTAAACAAAAACAAATTCAATAATACAATAAAACTTTTTTTCTGTGTAGAATAGCAATGACAAATTAAAAGAACAAATTATTATTAAATAATACAATGAAGCATTTTTTATATTTTAAACTTGGTAAAAAAGTGGAAACGAAATAAGGGTTTTTTTTATTAATAATGTTTTTTTTTTAATTTGTCCCGCTTTTATACACAGAAAGAAGCCAAACACAACCACTAACCCTAACACCTAACGGCTAAACTTAACCCGGTTTATTGTATTATTTAATTTTTTTTTAATTTGTCCACTTTCCTACACAGAAAGAAGCCAAACACAACCAATAATCCTAACACCTAACCTAAACTTAACCCATACAAAATAAAATTACAAAATAAAAAAAATGCTAGACATACTCATACTCCAATATTCAATATTGGAGGAGTAATTCCATATCTTCTGTTACATTTAATAAAAGCATATAGAACAAAAATTTATATTCTTTAACTATTGATTATAAAGAAAATTTAGTTTTAACAAATTCACACTGCTGGTCTTCCGTACCTATTTAAGTTTTATTTTTATTACCCTCTCGCGTTTTTTCCCTCAATGTGAGAATGACTATTTCTATATTGTCCGTTGACCTCACAGACAGGATAGTGTGCATAAATAAAATGTTATTTTCATTTTGTTTTAAGTAAACGATAAGCATTGCTTTTTTAAAATCCAGTTAATTAATCTTTAAATTCACAAACAGACTTCGAAACCAATCTCGAATACAATGGATTTTAAAGAGAATTTTAAATTTGTTGTTTATTTTTTTGTATACAATGGTGGCCTGGTGAGTGATGAAAAAATGTACTAATACTTTAAAAAAGTTTATTTATATACAGAAATTAATTTTTCTTTTAATTTGGATTAGCTTTAAAACCTCTATCTTTCAAATAGAAACAAAGTTTAAGTTCAAAGAAGGCACTTAAAATGTGTTTTTGGGGTTTTTTTTTAGAAAGTCTGTTGTGGCACCTGCAAAATGTATTTATTAGGTACCACCATGAAAGTTCTAACTAATCTTTAAATAATCTGTTACAAAAATGCAAAAAAATTAAATTCTTTTAAAAAAAGATTCATGATTGAAAATGACATTAAACTTTATATTTTTTTTATTCTTCAGACATGTTTTTATTTAATAAAAATAATAAAAAAGCTATTATGATCAGAAAGAGGTTAAATTTCAAAATTAGACAAAAAAATTTTTGTAAAAATAAATATTCAGTTTAGATTTTACCTGTTCAATTTGAAAGAATGTGCTCAAACACCAACTCTCAAAAAATTATTTTCTTAAATTAAGATTCAGGATGAATTTTCAGTATGTTCACACTTGATGTTTCATTTTTTTTTTTTTTTATTAAAATAGCATCTTATGGGATTTTTATTTATATAACTAAAAAACACATTTGTGCCATACTGTAATATCCCAGCAACAGAAGGGAGATAACCCCTGAGGTGAAGTCCCAATTAATTACAGGTTGCCTGTCGGAAAAAGTCCGCCAGAAGGGACTCATGAACTCAGATATATCACTACATAACTTAATAAACTACGCAAGGACAACGGAGACAATAGTGTCGCACCTACAAACAATGCGACTGGAAGACAACAACACCGCTACTGCTACAACCGCCCCAATAAACAAAGTTGCGGACGAACAGTGCCAACCAAGCAACTATCCCTGGCAATACCAGTGCAGGAATTGCAATGGAAAATACCTTCATGAGCGGGGACCGACGTCTTGCCCTGCATTTCATACCCAGTGCACATACTGTGGAAGGTGGGGACACTTCACCTCTGTCTGTTTCAGAAGATTAAACGATGGAAACAGACAACGGGAAACAAATCGTCCCCCACGAACACAGACCAATCGATGCTCAGTGAACCGCATTGAAAACGACCAACGGAACCCACATAGCAGTGGTAGTGATACAGAATACGTGTTCCACACAGGTAAGACGAAAAACCTTCCTTGCTTTAACGTGTCTTTTGGCTATAGCCGCCAGACGTTCAATGCACTAGCCGACTCAGGTGCCACCATTAACGTCCTGTCTGAGGCAGACTTCAAACATTTGAGACCAGCACCCCACCTCCAACCCACAAAAATGGTAATATCTGGGTTTGGTGTAAAGGAAACCACCCCAGCCCTAGGCCGATTCAACATACGTCTAGAATTCATGGACACCACTTGCCAGGCCGACATACATGTGATAAAGAGTCCAGAAAAGCCCATCATTGGCTGGGAGACATGCAATGGCTAGGACTGTTATCCGCACACAAACTCTCCATCAACCATATCAGTGACTCTGACACACAGATCCCTCCCTCCACCCTTAAACTTCTGGACGACCATGCAGACCTCTTCAATGGCCTAGGTAAACTCAAAGGGAAAAAGGTTCACCTACACATAGATGAAACCATACCACCTGTTGCCCAGAGATACCGCAGAATCCCCTTCCACGTAAGGAAAGACGTGGAGGAACAAATATACAAAGATGAGAAACTAGGGGTTATTGAAAAAGCAGAAGGGCCAACCCCATGGGTATCTCCCATCGTGGTCGTACCGAAAAGGGACCAAAACAAAATCAGAGTGTGCATTGATATGAAAGCAGCAAAAAAGGCCATTAAAAGGAAACGGCGCCCAACCCCCACACTAGATGAACTGAAAACCATTCTATCAGGAGCTAATATCTTCAGCAAATTAGACCTCAATCAAGGTTTCAACCAATTGGGACTAGCTGAAGAGTTCCGTTACATAACAACCTTTGCGACACACCTCGGCCTATACAGATACAAAAGGCTATTCTTTAGTGTCAATTCCGCCAGTGAGATATTCCAGGAAGAAATCAGTCAAGCACTTGCAGGGATTAATGGAGCCATCAACATCAGTGATGACATCCTCTGTTTTGGATCAGACCAGCAGGACCACGACCAAAACCTTCATGCAATATTCCAGCGAATTCGTGAAAAAGGTCTCACCCTCAATGGCAGCAAATGTGAGTACAACAAAAGGTCACTGGAATTCCTCGGACACACTTTTGGCAACAAAGGCATTAGCCCAAGCAGCCTCAAAATAAAAACTATCCTTGGGCTACCCAACCCTAAAAATGCATCAGAAGTCAGAAGCTTGTTGGGGATGACTAACTTCTGTGGTGCACCATTCATTCCAAACTACGCGACCCTGACTCACGACCTACGTCAACTAACAAAAAAAAAAACACTCAGTGGTCCTGGACTGAATGCCACAGTGAATGCTTAAAAAAAATCAAGGATGCCCTGAGCAAAGCATGCTTACTCGCCTACTTTGACCCGAACAAACACACTGAGATATACACCGATGCTAGCCCCGTAGGCATCTCTGCCATGCTGTCACAAAGTGGACAGGTAGTACAATTTGCAAGCCAAGCATTATCCACAGTTGAACAAAGATACTCCCAAACAGAACGCGAAGCCCTCGCTATCACATGGGCATGTGAACATTTTCAAAGCACCATTTACTGTGCATACAGATCATAAACCCTTGACATCAATTTTTAACAACACCCGCTCTCAACTATCGGCACGCATTGAATGCTGGGTCTTGAGAACACAACTGTACAACATGACCGTCATATACCGACCAGGTCATGACAACCCAGCTGACTACCTCAGCTGTCACCCTATACACCTGCCACCGAGCGACAGAGAACAAAAAGTAGCAGAAGAATATATAAACTACATCCTTTCAACATCAACCCCCAAAGCAATGACGATTGAAGAAGTCGCAACGGAAACCGCGAAGGACAAGACACTCACAGCCGTCATACAAGCCCTCCTCACCAACAAGTGGTACGGTATTGACGATGACGTAGATAAAGCAATATTCCAAACTCTGCATGCCAACCGTGCTGAACTCTCATTAGCACACAACAACAGCATCATTCTCAAAGGACGCCGGATAGTACTGCTCAAGACACTACAAAGCAGAGCCGCCCAAATCGCACATACCGGACATCAAGGCATCATGAAATCCACGGCCTGCCTCCGAGAAAAGGTCTGGTTCAAAAACATGCAAGCCCTAGTAGAAGAAAACATCAGGAACTGTCACACCTGCCAGATCAGCACCTACAAACCTGCAAGAGAACCACTGCAAATGTCCCCACTACCAGCGGCTCCATGGACAGAAGTCAGCGCTGACTTTGGACACCTCCAAAATGGGAAATATTTACTTGTCGTCACAGACAAGTACTCACGCTACGTTGTTGTTGACATCCTAGACTCCATCTCAACGACATCAGTGATACCCCGCCTGGACAAAATATTTGCGGAGTTTGGGGTACCAGTATCCCTCAAAACGGACAATGGCCCACCATTCAACAGCAGCGATTTCAAAGACCACGCCTCCCTAACTGGATTCAAACACAGGAAAATAACACCCCTGTGGCCCCAGGCCAATGCTGAAATGGAACGCTTTATGCGCACTGTAAAAAACTCCATCAAGGCTGCCCTAATTAAAGGCTGAAGCTGGAAGCAGGAATTATTCAAATTCCTACTGGACTACCGAACAACGCCACACTGCACCACAGGTGTACCCCCGGCCTCAGTCCTATTTTGCTGGACCATAAAAAACCGCCTGCCACATTTGATCACACCCATAGCTGGAGACCCCAGCATCAGGGAGCGTGACACACAAGCCAAGACAACCATGAAACGATACGCTGACAGGAAAACATACGTGAAACCCAATGATCTCAGAGTGGGTGACACAGTCATTATAAAAAACGACCACACCTCAAAGGCTCTCACACCCTACCAACCTAACCTAATGACTGTGACAAAGAAAAAGGGATCCATGATAACTGCCACACATGAGGGCAACCAAACTACAAGAAATGCCACCTTTTTCAAGAAAATCCCAAAACCACCAACAAGTCCCACACACAACCCACTCGATTACTCTTCATCTGAAGATGAAATCTACACACACACTACAACACCACCAAAATCTAAAGACACCCAGGCACAACATACTCCCAACCTCAGGTGCACAGGTCAAGCAAGACGGCCACCCAAAAGGTTCAATTGCTAAACCCCTCTCAAAAAAAAAAAAAAAAAAAAAAAAAGAGAAAGCATTGTAATATCCCAGCAACAGAAGAAAGATAACCCCTAGAGACACAAGAGTTAGATCCCCTCCGGACATCCGGTGAATCTTAATCAGCAGTTTCGCAGCAAGAGGGAATAGGAGGCTACCATCACCCGAGGGACAATCAACAACCATCCTATCAACGCATTAATCGATGCTTAGCAAGTATCGATAGCCTCTTGCACAGAATATTACACCACCCAATTAAAAAGTACATGCAAAATATCAAAAAGGGAGGTGAAACTAACCCAAAAAACAATATTTCCATAAATAAAATGACCTATTTAATATATAATTCATTCATTAAAGAATCAGTTAAATGTTATGCCAACCAAGGCTAAAAGACGCATTCTATCTTGCTATTAAATCCATAGTTGGAGAGAAAAGATGAATTCATATCTTTCCCAAGAGTATTTGTATGTAAGTTAATGTAATAAACTTGACTGGAATTTTAATTTGAATGAGTACTGAAAATTCCATTTGAATCAGATAATTCCTTGACTTTTTGTAAATTTTTAAAAACATATGATGTGGAAAGACACAAAATATTTTACTGTATCAGTGATTTTATTTACAATCAATATCTACATCCAAACTAATCTCCTCATCTTTGTTCCTATTATCATAATGTTTTGGCTTTTGTACCCTCTGACCTTCTGATATCTGTTGATTCAGGCAACCTTCAGGCAATTTTGTACTAAAATCATTACTTAAGTTACAAGGGTAGATTGTTCTCATTCTGCTGTCCATATCCCAGGATATGTTCTGTTTGTTTTTAGTATTGCTCAGGACAATAGCCTGGAGAATTCAAGTATTAATTTGTGAATTTAGTGACATAGTGTGGTAAACTCCAACTCAGTGGAAACAGGACTAACAATAAATGAGCAGTACAAATATATAATAAATATTGCTATCCAAATCCATTTGAAATAATCTCATTATATAAAAGAATTACAAACTATTTACAAAACAATGGATTGCAAATAATTTTACTATAGACTTTAATTTTATATAAACAAATATTTTAGTAAAGTATCTACTATTAAAATACAGTTCGCAATCAGTATTTAAATGTGCTTATATTGCAAGATATTTTTTCAAATAAATTTTGATGACATGTTTCTTATGTATGAACATCGAATAATCATAAGATTAAAACCAAGAAATGATAGTGAAACACATTTTAAAATTTTGACATACATGTAAGTCTTATTTACATAAACCTTTCCCAAAATATTTTATTTTTATCTCTAAAATTTAGACTGTATTTTGATGTAATATTTATTACGCATCTTCTCCTTGCAAGACATACTGAGTGCCAATAAGATAACAGTTTTGCATGATTTTAATGAAATATAACAGGCTGTAATATGACTTTAATCTGACAAAGAGAATCGGTGTCCAAATTGGGAAAAGTGTTGAGTACATTAAAACTGGTCTACAAGCTTAAATACAGAAGTGTTTTGTACAAATTGTACTAGGATATGTTGCTCAGACTTACATAACTGTAAGATAATCTGTGAAAGACTTGAGAGAAATATTAGGAGTCTTTATTTAGTCTGCTATAAGATTGTGGAAGGTTGAGGCAGTGAAAATTTGGCCTTGTAAAAATATTCAACTCAGCCACAATGAAAACAAAAGAAAAGGAAGAAAACAGATAAAGTGTAAATCCAAAATTGCTGAGGCGTTTTACAAAATTTTTTTCCTTTTTTTTTCTTTCATAAAGACAGTTTTCATATGACAGATTGCTTAATGACCTCTTGCTACTTCAACTTGGACTGTTACTCTGACTGCTATTCAGACTGGCTCTTTGATACATTGTTCTTTTATTTATAACTGGCTTGTGAACATAATGAACACAAGAATATGTGTAAATATTTAACAGAAAAATTATCTGCTCTATTTAAATGTGTAGTACTTGAAGGGTATAAAATTTCTAATAATTTAATAACTATAAATGCTTAAAAGCTGAAACTTTGCACATTAATAATTTGATATATTTTAAATGCTTCATAATTTTTATCTTTCTCCGTAAATTATATATTAATGTAAATTTTAAGTTGTTACCCACTCAGTAAGGATATCATGTTTTATTAATAACTAGCAGTAGAGCCCGGCATTGCCCAGGGATGTAACAGTAAGAGATAGATCAAGTATCAACCATCATAAAGACTGAAAAATAAAATTGACAAAGATTATTGTTTAAGATTGACAGACACGCATGTCTTAATTAGTTTTTTTTTTTTTTTACGAATTGGTCAAACCCAAACTCAAACAAAACATTGTTTTCAATTGTTATGAGTCTACCGATTGAATAGAATTTTATTATAAACAATTGCCTTGTAAATGGAATTTTTAAAGCATTCTGAATGTAAAATGAAGAAAAAAGTGTGCAAGACAATAAGAAACACTACATGCCAAAAAAAGTGAAGTTTTGTTGAAATTGGTTGAAAAATGTAGGAAATCCGATCCCATATATAAATGAACACAGACACACAAACACACAAACAACCTGGGTTTTATAATAAGTATAACTCGATATGAGCTGTCCCTCTTTCATTCTTGCAACAACAATGCCTCTTATCATGTTTTCAAATTGATTTCATGCAAAAACAATTGTGTTTTTCCAATTTTTGGCGCTGTCAGAACCACCGCAAGGTAATTTTACGTAGTCCTGTGAAGTTTAGTTGAAATCAGTTGAAAAATGTAGGAAATCCGATCCAATATATAAACGAACAGACACACACACACACACACAACCTAGGTTTTATAATAAGTATGATTTTAGTAATAATTTTCAATAAAAAGAGATTTTTATTTTTTCTGAGGCTGATTAATTAGTAGAATATGTTCTAATAATGTGTCTAATTTCTTCATTTTACCATATCTTAATTTATATAGACTTTTAAAGTTTTATTTTACAAACACTACACAATCACTTTCCAGCACTCAACTTTCTATCAAAACCTTGATAAGAGATGCATTTCTTGACCATTTGATTTTGTATTTTTCACTAGAGTATAAAGGTCAAAATATTTAAGACAAAGAAGAATTTTTAATTGGAAAATGTGTCAGTGAAGAACGTTCAAAGGCATCTGAAATGACAGTTGTTACATTTGTACATATGCATTTCTGGAGGGTACTAAATGATTGATGTATAAGTTTTACAATCTCCAATACTTGGAAAGAAAGAGTAAAATATTTTCAATTCCTTGCATCCTTAACCTTGAGTTGCCTTATTAATGGCTGGGCACACAGAGTAAGTCAGTCATACAACAACCAGAAACATTATTTACTGTTGCAGAAAACCTTATTGCGGATTTGGAAAAAAAGATTTCTGAAGCTTTTGATGTTTTTGATCATGAGTCAAATGGAACAGCAGATTTTAGGTAAGCATTTTTTTTAGTATGTAGTTTTGTTTTGTTTTTAAATCTGATATTTGGTTTATACAGAAACTGGAAGGAAAAACATCTTCCTCATAAGCTTTCTTAGTTATGTGTGTGTGTATAAAAGACACAACTTACAAAGTTGGTTACTAAGAAAATAAACTTGATAAAATGCATTCAATTTAGACTTATTCATTATTTCCAGCATGCAATTTATTTCTAACAATGAATGATGATCTCAGAATTACATTAAAAAGCAAATTAAATTAAAAGAATTATTTGTGGAAAATAACAATAATGGAATTCAAAGAAATAATGTTGATCCTTGTACAAGTTCATCGGCTGACCAAGATACTCTCATGGAATGTGATCAAATGAGATTTATTTTTCAACATAGTTCCTTTTGCTGTCCACACACTTCTTCTATCGGTGTTGCAGTGCTTGGATTCCATTGGCAAAGAAGCTTTCATCCAGTTGGTTAAAAAAGTCATCAACAGCCAATATCACATCATCATCATCATCACTGTGATAATGATTCTCAGTCAAGTGTTTTTTCATGTTGGGGAACAGATGATAATCAGATGGGAGGGTGATCAATAAGTACAAGGCCACAGTCAAACACAGTAGGAATTGAAACCAAAGACTTGTGTGCTGGAGCCTTTTGTAACTTCTTCTATTGATGGTGTGGCTCTTTTGAAGATAGTCAATAAATACAATGCCTTTTGCCTTCCCAAAAAACTGAGGCCTTCCCTGCAGATGAAACAACTGTAACCTTCTTTGGAGCATGTGAAGAGATTGTCTCTTTGTCTCTCACTCAAAGTGACTAACCCAACACTCATTCTGGGTTAGGAAATGTTCAAGGAAACCAGCTAGATCTGCCTCAAATGATGTATTTTCCTGTGATATGATCAGCCTGGTGTGCTTTTGATCAGGTATCAGAAAATATAACACCCACTAAGCAATAAACCATTATTCTTCCAAGTTCATTGTGCAGAATATTCTTAACTATCTCATAGCATTGGCTATTTGATTTATAGTCAATCACCTGTCATCCAACACCATATGGTGAACATGATCACTGTTTTCCTTGGTGATGGCTGTTGCAGGATGTCCAGAGCTTTGGTCATCTTCAAGATTCTCCCTCCTCTCCTAAGTTCAACTGCACATTTTTACACTGTTGATAAAGCTGGAGTGTCACCCCTAATGTAGCAATCATAGCAGCATGAATGTCCTTGGGGTTAAAACTCTTTTTCTGCAGGTACTTGGTAACACCATGATGCCAAATTTTATCCAATTTCCAAAGAAGTCACTACTAGTTACTTTTGAAGTTTTTTTGAACAGGCAAATGTCTTTTTATCTGGAGAGAAACAATGCAGTTATTAATAAGAATTGAAGTTAATGCATGCTAGGTTTCACAGCTCTAGCATCACTCCTTCATAGTCAGCCGACCCTCATATATTAATTCATGAACCAAGTAGTCTTTCTGTTTTAATGCATCCATGTAAATGTGAGTACATTATGTAAGTTATCTTTATTACATATAAATCTTATCATAAAGGATAAAATTTGTCATCACTCAACAAATAAGTGACGGAGGGGAAGGGGCCAAAATTTACAGAGGTAGATAACTCTTCTAACCCTCAATTCACTAAAGTGTACGTATCAATTGTTTTTGTTTTTTTTCCTTCTTTTTAATATTATTTATATTTCTTTCCTGCAGGGAAATTGGGACAATCATCCGCTCCTTAGGCTGCTGTCCAACTGAGACTGAATTGAATGATTTTCTGAATGAGGTCAGAACTCATTTTATGCAAAAATTTGGCCTACCTGAAAATTAAGCTGAAATACACTTTGGGCTTTTTGTACAATCACATTTCTTCTGTCATACAATGCTAAACATTCAATGATTGATAGCAAAATTCTTTCAACAGGGATATATATATATATATATATATATATATATATATATATATATATATATATATCACACTCATATTTCCTTGTTTTTCTTCCTAAGATTGGGCATTTTGATCTGGATAAATCAAAATATTTTTTCTATTTTTAGTTTATACAGTAGTATTCCATTCGTATTTTGGTTTACTGATCTATTCTTCTTTTATGTCCTGTCAGGATGTGGCCGATTATGGCTCTCCACAACTTCCTATCCTTTGAAGTTTTAAGCAATGTTTGTCCCTACTCTGCTATCCATTTACACAAGCTCATTAGGTAGGTTACTTGTTGTTTCCTTTCTGTCCCTCTTGCCTTCAATATGTCCTATGAGTGTCAAATTTACCAAACACTTTTCTCAAATTTTAAGTCTCTTTTTGATTCTAAGTACAAATATCTTTTTTGTTTCCATTTCCCTTAAAACTTCTTTGTTGCTTACATGCTCTGTTTATGATATTCTCAGCATCCTTCTGTAGAACAAAAGTCTCCTCTTCATTTGTGAGGAAATTTTCTAACATTCACTGCCATATAGGTGGACTAAACTCTTTCCTTTGTTTCTTTCAAAATGTCCCTGTTTCTTAATACTTTGTTTAGCTTTTTAAAAGTATCATTTGCTATTCCAATGCATCTTTAGATTTCTATGTGACATTTTGTTGTAGAGTAGTTTTCACAGTGGAGGCTTGTATTTCACTAAGTTGATCCTAAATTAGGTTCGATGTACAAAACGTTCGGAACTTGAAAATAATAGTTAATGATGCAGCAATCTAGTTGTGGTGGTTGATACTTCAATGTCCAACATCAACTGACTCACTCGACTCACTGAGCCCCCTGGCGACTGCTACTACTACTACTTAGTTTCTGTGGGAGAGTCTATTAACAATAGAATAGGTATGTTCCGGTATAACACATTTTCTGTTGTGTTATATTCTGTCAACTGCTCTGTTACTCAAATTATTATCAAATCCATAAATACATACATGCATATCTATATCCTTTTTTTGCTTGTACAAATACCTGTATCTGTGTCCAACAATCTGTCTGTATTTAGATCAACCTATTTGTCTTGGATTACATATCTGTAGTTTTAAAAATTAATTGAGTCATAATTAAGGAAAATTCTGTTTTGGCCAGGTGGAGGAAGATGAACCAACAGGATACATCAGATTTGAAAAATTCAAACCAGCATTGATACGAGTAATTCTTGAACGAAGGTAAATAGAATTTTTCCATTATTTCATAGCACAGCAATATGGACATGAATTGAACTTATTCACACCAAATTTATATATATTTCATCTATTTTTGTTACTTTTTATTGCAACATTTTTAGTTGTTCATTTCTTGAGTTATTAAATTCTAGGAATATGGAATAAAGAAAGAGCTTTGAACAAGATTTGAAGACATATTCCATACTTTATGACCTTGTCTTTCATGGATACTATCTAAGCCAATTATAATGCCAACATCATCATAATTAGACAACGTTATCATCTTTAGTCTTCTCTCACTGTCTTTTTTTTAACTTTAGAGTATTGCTGCCATCTTTGAGCTGGAGCAGCTCAATTGTCACGTTTCAACCCTGACAGTGTTCAAAAGAATCTATGTAGACTTGTGGGTGATGAATTATTATATACCACAGAGTAAATGCTGCAAGCTTCTTGCTATTCTATTACTATTTCTACAGCAAATTTTCTGATGAGCTACATTCCTTAGTTCTACCAGTTCAGATGTTTACAGCTAAGACCCACTATGCTACATATACATGGTCAAATCGTTTTCATTGCCTTTGTATTCCATTGATAAGATGAAAGTTCAGTTTGGGCATCTTCTTCCCCAAAGCCACTACTTTGTAGAACAGACTCCTGAAAAGATACTTCCTTGATCACTACAATTTTAACCTCTTCAGATCTCAGTTCAACCATTATCTACTTTCAACCACCTCATTCAGTAACCCTCTACATCAGTGGTCCCCAAACTTTTTTCTTGCACCTCACCAAATTTTATGTGATAAAATACATTTAAAAATAAAAAACTAAGATAAGATTAAAAGGAGATAACCACGGATCAAAATCAAAACATCGTCATTGATAACTTTCTGCCAATTTGCAGACGCTAGTTTTATTTATATTCTTAATACTTGATATAATGCAAAAATATCACAATGATAAAATTGGTCAATAATTATTTCTAACTATTTATATTGGGACTCCTGTATGCAATTACAAGTAATCCATAACATTTTAAATTTTGAAATCATATTTATTTTTAGCATATGAATTTTTTTAAACTGTTTCTAAATCTTTGTCTTTCAATCATTCTGCCTTACCTGCAAGCCTTTTCTATCACACATATGAGCCATGCTGCACTGTTTGGAAACCACTACTCTACCATGAGGGGTTCTTGAGCCTTCTATTAGACAAACAATAAATTAAAAAACTTTATCTAATGTTGTATTTTTGTCTACTAGTAGTTATTTGATTTCTGAAATGAAGTAATTTCAGATTTACAAATATTTTGACTGGTTTTCCTTTATCTACTTAGGTTACCTTTTATCACAATAATTGCACAGTTGAAAATTGGACAAATAATTTAAATACTAATTCTTTTTATAGAATATAAATTATAATATTACTTTTAAATGAGTCTGTCCATTGACAAGGGTTTTCACCACGAAATCAACATGTCATGAAGAGAGAGAGAGAGAGAGAGAGAGAGAGAGAATAATCACATGGCATTAAATCATAACTCATTTAATAGTGATAATTGCCTATGATTTAAACAATAGCTTTTCTGTTAATGAATGTTAAAGAATAAATAAACCATACTGGATAATCTCTGTTCAAGCAATTGTAGTAATGTCTAATATATTCATTGTCATTTGTCATAGAGGAACTATTCATTTATACCCTTTCAATGGATATTGATTTCAGTGACAACTGTACATATCAACAAGTATCATTAATTATATTAAATGTTAGTATCTTAATTTTAGAGTAATAAACTGTATGTGTGAAAGTATGGCCATTTCTATTATCTTTCCAATTCATCATTAATTTCTAACAACCTTATTAATAATCATCAGTTGTTGTACGTCTTGTACAGCCAGATTCTAAATACAAGTAAATTTTTTTCTTCATTAAACCATTCATTTTTACATGTCAAATTCTGTGTAAAAATTTCAGATAGAGTTTATTTGTAAAAGGACAATATGAATAAAAACAAAAGGAAAACTGATCTTTGTCGAAGCATTTGCCTTGATAAAGTTCCTCAGAGGCTGAAACAAGTTAGATAAGTTTTCCTTTTGTTTTTATTCATGTCAAATTCTACTTGATTTTTATTGTTTCTCTTCTACAGATTTCAACCAACTCCTGAAGATATATTATTAAAGGCATTTGAGAGGCTTGACTCAGAAAACAAAGGCCACTTGACAAAAGAAGAAATAACTAAATTTCTCACAGAAGAAGGTTAGTCTTAGTGATTTCATATTTGTAAAAAGGTTTATTTTCACTTATAGAACTTTATTGAAACCAATAACTTTTTTTTCACTTCAGTTTAAGAATATAATGTCATGAAAAATTTAAATCTGTCTAAAATGTAGAAATATTAAAAGCTGACAGCTTACAATGAACTTGATCTTCAGAAATAGTTACTTATAATCTTTTGTTATATAGAGATGAATTAACCAATTACAAGAAACTTTCACGATACCAACCGTGTCAAATTTTATATAGCTCTATTTTTGTAAATTGTTATTTTTAGGAGAAGTATTCAACCAGGATGAGTTGGCCGAAATGTTTTCTGCTGCTGCTGATCCAGAAACTGGCAATATTTTCTACAAAGATTTTGTTCCACACATGGTTGTAGAAGATACCTTGTATTAAACTTGATTTGTATTCCATTTTCTTGTGTTTTAAGATTAAAATGTCACTTTGTTTTTATATCCTCTTTTTTATATTCAAATGCTGTGGGCCACAAAATTTTATTACCTGATTTAAAGTTAAGATAAAGCATGAAAGTAAAACTAATGAAAATTCATATTTGTATCTGTCAACTACAAAGGTAAATTTGGAGCCAATTTTTAGCTGGATTCTCAGAGAAAGACATTAAAATATTTGCTTTTTCAGTTGAAAACTTAATAACTTTATTCTAAAAGTATAAAAATATTTTTAAAATTTCTAATATATGTAACAGTCTCTGACTGTTACATATATTAAAAATATTCAAAGACTTGTATATAATACAAATTTACATAATTTTATAAATTTACAATATTTATAAATTTAATTTGTAGCTACAATAACAGACACTACAGGTTTATATCCAGAAATTTCTAGAATGTCACAAAACTAGACATGGATTCTACCTTGGTCCTTTTACCACACTTAAGCTAAGATCCTAAATAATTTGTATCATAAATATTCATGTCAGTAACATAACTGAAGAATTTCAATTATTATAATTCTTTTATTATTTCCTTTGTCTGTCTTTCTTTTTAACTTTTTTTATTCACTCTTTATTTTTTCAATATTGTCATTTACTCTCCTTTTGTTTTTCTCTCAATTCATTCATAAAATCTATAAATAAAAATAACTTTTCCCTTGTTTAGTATAAGCATGAAAAATAAACAAAACTAGATGTTAGAAACAAACAATTTTCATAGGGGACATTTTTAAACTTTGTAATTTCAGTTTATAGTTATTCTGTGCATTTTGTTATAAACAATTAGAGACAGATAATACACTTTAATTCAAAAAGAATTTTGTATTGCACTTGAAATTTTCATACAATTCCTTCAGATTTCATTTCACTTAGTGCATTTGCTCTGTTCTCTTGCATTTTGAAATTGTTTATTGACTTACACAACCCTAACCTCCTGGATTTTATTTGCTTGATTAATAAGACAGAAAAAGTGACAAGCAGCAAAAAATATCCATTTTGTACAAACATTATCTGAGGTCAAATGATATAAAAATTAGAAAAAAGTTGTCATTATAAATAAGGTTTTGAATATGAAAATATCAGGCATTTCAAAGGGAAAGAACAGAAAGAATAAAGTTAAGAGAGGGAATTAAGAAGAAGTATGAGTGAGAAGAGAAAGAATGAAAAGGAAAGGCAGAAAAATAAGGCAGAGAAAGAAGAGAATAATGAAAAAAAAATCCTACAGATGGAAAAAAATGGATATAGGTTTAATTATAGGAAAAATTGCTTACATGAAAGAAGTGGGAGAAAGAGGAAACTATAAAAAAAAAAGAGAAGATGTTATAAGAAAAATGAAGAGGCTTTATGAGGGAGGTTAAAAGAAAGAAAAATTTGGTGATAAAGAAGAAATATAAGAAAGAGGTGTAAAGGAGAAAGTATTAAAAAGGAAAGAGAAAAGAAAAAACTGAAACAATGGGAAAAGTAAAAGGAACAAGAAAGAAATGGAAAAAAAAGAACAAAGTATGTGAAAAGAAAGGAAGAAAAAGCGAGAGTAAATAAAAGAATGAGGAGAGGCAGAGAGCTAGAGTGGAGAAAATGAGTCTTTATTGCTTTGATAAAAATTCTAGCAGATAACTCATAAAAATGAAATCTCTTATGGCATTTAAGGTTGTATATTTGTGTATATTGTAGGTGTGTATATGTTCATATGTAAACAATTAAAGAAGAAGTGTACAAAAACTTGGGTTTATGCTACAGATTATTTACATTATTTAGACTATTGTCCAACATCTTTGTTGCCATATTTATCATAATGTTTTGGACATTGTACACTCCGCCCTTCTTCATGTGGTTGGAATGTCAAACTGAACCCTTTATTTCGCTTGCTGGGGTAGAATGTTCTAGTTCCATGTGCCATGTTTAATGGATGTCAGTTATCAGTTATCTCCTGTTAATTCACCTCTCCAAGTTCTCCACTGCCTTAACCAGGTATTGAACTCACAACTCTTTGGGTCCTGTCACTGGATCTAACTAATGCCTTTATCCACAGTGCCATGTGTCCTTGAGGAGAGGTGAATTAACAGAAGATAACTGACATCCATTTGGCATGGCATGTGGAACTAGAACAGTCTACCTCAGTGAGCGAAATAAAGGGTTCAGTTCGACATTCCAACCACCTGAAGAAGGCCGAAGTGTACAACGACCGAAACGTGATTAATATGGCAAAAAAGATGAGAACAATAGTCCGAATAATGTAAATAGTGTACATAATACTCAGAAATATCGACATATACTATGGATTGTTTATTTATTTATTTATTTATTTTTTATTGTAGGGAGACAAAGTTTTTAATGTCTCTTGGGTATGTCGCTTTTCTTTTTCTGGTCCAGAAGTTAGGGCAAGTAAGGATAAGCATTGTTATAATGGTCAAGCTCAAGTCAGCCTTGCACTGAGTTGGAACAACCAAAGAAAAGGTTGATTTATTTCACAAGTGAAGGTTTTGGAAGATGTGCAAATGCTAAGCATTGGAAAGTGGAAAGTTCAGTTATCATTAGACTGGGGAAATGAATGTGACACAGCGGGGATGTTTTTTTTCCATGTGTGCTCCATCTTTGAGAAAGAAAATATGCCTTTTTATAGAACAAACAGCACCACCTGGGCGTTTGATGAAATCAAGTGGGGTAATAAAATTTCCAGTTCCTTTATTACTAGCATCATGGGAAAATGTATTCCTTATTTCTTTTTTCTTATATTCATTATTATTATTTTAGTTAGTGATTTTGTTCCATTTCTTCACACTCTTAAGAAATCCTGTTTTTATCTAATACCTACACATTGTTTCAGATTTTATTATTCAAGTCAGTGTTTTCCCAATACAATTGATATATACTGATATTGGTATATGTATATGAGCAATATCTCATGTAACTTTCAGTTTATAATATCAAACTTCATTAAAAATATTGAGATTAAGTTGTTTGGGAATTGTTATGTTTTATGTAAAGTGCAAAAGAAATTTTTGTTTATAAATTTGAATTATATAGGCTTCCATATACATGAATAAATTTTTTTATATATCAATACAACTCTCCTTGATATTCTGGAATCATCATCAGCATTTCAACTTGTTTTTATTGTTTCAAACTTAACATTGCAACAGTTTATATTGCTTCTCAAAGATCTTTACTTGAATATTGATTTGGATTTTCATATATATCATTCTTATGGATAGACCACTAGATTAATATTTGGAGAGTCTGGGGTATATTCCATTAATTTGATGTCTTTGAAACTTTGTACTTCTTAGCTTAAAGCTTCTTAAACCTATACAACTCAAAATATTTTATCTAAGAACTTACAATAATTCTTCACAATTATCTTGATACCATCATCAACTTTGAAAGCAGTGCCTACACTAGCAGCCCTAAACCTGGCTCCACTTCCTCTCATTGTCTTCACAATCATGTTGGTTGATTATTTCCATGAAAGAGCTAACTTTTAGCTCCACCATTGTTCTTCCAATGTAGCTCTACATTCATCACTAAAAATTATTTTCTGTTCTCCTTTGCCCAACTTATACATTTGTCTTTGTGATGGTTGTTTAAAAGTGGTAGCTATGGTTGTTTTCATGTCTTTAACCAATAGTCTTTATATTATCTTTTCTTAGTTTACATTTTCAACATCAGCTTCCAGATGAAAGAATAAAATAAGAATATCAGTTAATCTTCTAATTTTATTTATTTGAAGAAGTTTATTTTTACATCTCTTAAGTTATTCACAAATATTTTTTTCTTTTTGTGTAAGTTTATATAATTTGTTAAATGAAATATGAAATATTGCTAAACATGACAGAATATATATTACTTTGCAATTCTTAAATCTGTAAAGGCCTATAAACAGTTTAAATGGTTGGCACCATGAGAATTCCATCAGTATTGACAACTAAAATTATCTATTATCTTTACTTTTCCTCATCCATTGCTTGTACAGCTCTTTCATGCCTTCCAGTTCTTAATGCCCATTCATGTTTTTATGTAAACCATTTACAAACAGGAATTAGTTTTGTGTACAAAAATGGAATAAGAAATAGACAAATATTTTCTACTGTATTCTTTTTATTTATCATAGGTCTTTTCATCCCTACTTACCTTTCAATTTTTTACTCATTGTCTCATGATATCCAACCAAAAAGTTTGTGTCATTCTTTTTTTTTTCTTCATCACTTCCCTTTATGCTATATTTTTTCTTTCACCTGCTTTTCATTTTTTTTTTAGCTTTAACTCCTTCCTTTCCTCCTTCACCTCTTCTCCCTTGCTTTCTCCAATTCCTTCCAACTTAATCTACTATCTATATTTATGTTGTCTGTCTGTGTGTCTGTCGTGGGTGTTGCTACCTTGCCCAGGCCGCATTTCTCACCTGATTTCAATGCGGTTTTCAACACAAGTTTGCAAATGCCTGCTGTAAGGACATGACGGAGCCCGATTTTTGAGTTCCGAAAAAAATCGATAATCGAAAAAATTCTGCTTACAGAAGGAATGATCGCATTTCAACCAAATTTGACACCCTCTTAGAAGTGTTGTCCAGAAGTTTCATGACCACGGACCCCTAAACAATGCGGAAAATCGATAAAACCCAAAAACCGATACGCCCAGATTGCGTCTGAACTGCATGTCAGTTTTTAGCGAAAACCGAACGGATTTATGAAGAGGCCATTGGGAGTCATCATGTGAAGTTTCAACTCTGAGCACCCGCCAAACAGAGTGCAAACCGACAATTGGTCAACCCTTAAAAATGTTTTTTCCGGTTTTTTAAAGCTGATCGTATTGTGTTTATTTTGTTTAGTTCTTTTTTCGTAACAGATTTAATGTTTACTATAGAGCTTAGAAAAAGTTGGCAGTGTGATATAGGCAAGAAGTAAGGCATGTAACGACATCAGCACAGCAAAGGGCACTCCTCTAAAGGCAAGGAAGGGCAAAAATATTTTAAGTAAGTGATAGCGATTGCTGTATTAGTCCTACTATTTTTGAATCAAGCACAGGCAATGCCGGGCCATGCTGCTAGTATTATTATATAGGGTTTAAGTGATTTCAACTCAAGAAGGCTGAGTAATAGGCAGATACTACACTTTGATTCTAGATAGAAAAAATGTAATAGTCATACATCCAGATAAGCAGAATAATAATATGGATATTTGTGATGTTACAGTAAATGAAGCAGATAAAGTAAATGAAAATTCTTTAAAAAGAATTTGTTAAAATATTTAAAAACAAAGTTTTTAAATTTCCCTAAAGGAAATGGAATCTGAATAAATAAATCAGATGACTGATGAGCTCAAAAATGTTTTATTGAAATTGAATAAGGATTTGAATTTCTATAGATATTTAAAATGCGAAGATGTTCAACATTGTTAAGCCAATAAAAGATAAATTTAAAACAAACTTTAATTTGGATAAATGAATGAAAATGAAGATTACTCTCATTACAATTATGATGTCATTTCCTTTTCACTTCTGTTCAGCTGAGGGCCAAGGTGTATAACTGAATAGCAGTTGGGTGACATCAGTAGTTTCTACGGTAGTTCACAATTGCTATAGGTCAAAGTTCAAAGTCATAAGTGACGCATAATGGAAGACCAGTATTACAGTACAAGTAACCAGAATATTCTTTCTGAATGATAAATCAGATAGCAATACATTCATGACAAAACAACTTTTGTATCTTCCATGATGAGAAAAATTCATAAGATTTCCAAATTTAAATTTTGATGATTAAAAGAAAAAGGTTTTTTTTATATAAAATCAGAATTTTATTATTTTTATATAGCAAACAGGAAAACCACTTGGAATGCTTCAATCTCTACTGCTTATGCATCATTAGTGTCACATGGATAGTTGGGTCATGTTAATGGAATGAAGGATGTTTGTATACGAAAGGACAGTGAACTAGTCATAGGACAATGCCAAGTCAGCCACTCTGAACTGTGCTTTAAGGTTGTTTGAAAATCCAACTTGAAATTCACAAAGATTGGTCCAAGTAACTGGGAGCAACTTGTGACTGACTAACAATTGACAACAGGCTGCTGGCAGTTGGTAACAAGACCAGGATAAGTGTAATCCTCAGATACAGAATAGGTGATGATGCAAGGCAAAAAGTCAGCAAAATCAAGTTTATGCTCCACACAATTTTTGCATGCTTTGCCTGTGGACATAATGGTCGTTCAATAATCAGATTATTGAAAC